CCTGCCATGTGGCAGCGGCCTTGCCTGAACTACTCAACGTTATAGCCGCAGTGGCGATTGATACCCCTAGGCTTATGGTCATGGGGGACTTCAACCTGCCATCGGTGTCGGCTGTCGGTGAGGCGTCTGAGGTGGCTCAGGAGTTCATGGCTTCCATGACGGCCATGGACCTGACCCAGTTAGTTCATGGCCCTACTCACACGGGGGGAAACACGCTGGACCTGGTTTTTGTCTCTGGTCAGTGGCTGAGTGGTCTCGAGATAGGGGATATAGCGATCGAGCCCTTGTCATGGTCAGATCACTCCCTCCTTCGCTTTGACCTTCGAACCACCACACCCCGCCGCAGGGAGACGGAACCGATGAGGTGGTTCCGCCCCAGGCGCCTGATGGACCCAGATAGGTTCCAGACAGAGCTTGGGCCATTTCCTGAGGCTCTGGCACACGGCTCGACTGAAGACCTAGTGGCTGCCTGGGATAGGGAGGCCGCTGGAGCTTTGGACCGGGTCGTGCCTTTGCGGCCTCTAACCCGGCGTCGATCTCACCTGGCTCCCTGGTTCACCGAGGAGCTGAGGGAGATGAAACGCCGGAAAAGACGCCTGGAGAGCAGTTGGAGGGCCAGCCGTTCTGAATCTGACCGAACACTGGTAAGGTCTCATATTAAGACCTACCTGGTGGCAATAAAAGCGGCAAAGTGTAACTATTTTTCCACTCTTATTGCGTCATCAGATAATCGCCCGGCCACCCTGTTTAGGGTGACCCGCTCCCTGCTCCACCAGGAAGCGCGGGAGGACCCCTTGGAGGGTAGAGCCGAGGACTTTGTACAATATCTGTATGACAAAATCGCTCAGATTCAGGAAAATTTGGACTCTGACTGGGTAGATTCGGGAGGGAGGATGGAGGCAAGTCTTGAGAATATTACCTGGGAAGAGTTTGATTCTGTGACTCCGGAAAACATGGACAAGATACTGGGCAGACTGAGCACGGCCACATGTTTATTGGACCCGTGTCCCTCCTGGCTGGTGCTGGCCTCTCGGGAGGTTACACGAGGCTGGCTCCAGGGGATTATAAATGCTTCCTTGAGAGAGGGTGCCTTCCCCGCTGCCTTGAAAGAGGCGGTGGTGAAGCCTCTCCTCAAGAAGCCTTCCCTGGACCCAGCAGTGTTGGCTAATTACCGTCCAGTTTCCAACCTTCGCTTCGTTGCGAAGGTTGTTGAGAGTGTGGTAGCGCAACAGCTTCCTCAGTACTTGGATGAATCGGCTTATCTAGATCCGTTCCAGTCGGGCTTCAGGCCTGGACACAGCACAGAAACGGCATTGGTCGCATTGGTAGATGATCTCTGGAGAGCCCGGGACAGGGGTTGCTCCTCTGTCCTGGTCCTATTAGACCTCTCAGCAGCTTTTGATACCATCGACCATGGTATCATGCGGCACCGGTTGGAAGAGTTAGGGGTGGCGGGCACCGTGTTGCGGTGGTTCTCCTCCTTTCTCTCTGATCGGTCGCAGTCTGTGTTGACAGGGGGGCAGAGGTTGACCCCGAGGCCCCTTGTATGTGGGGTGCCACAGGGGTCGGTTCTCTCACCCCTTCTGTTCAACATTTATGTGAAGCCGCTGGGTGAGATCATCCGTGGTTTTGGGGTGAAGTATTATCAGTATGCTGATGATACTCAGCTATACATCTCCACCCCGGACCACCCCAATGATGCCCTTAAAGTGATGTCCCGGTGCCTGGAGGCTGTACGGATCTGGATGGGGAGGAACAGACTCAGGCTCAACCCATCCAAGACCGAGTGGCTGTGGTTTCCGACGTCCCGATATAGTCAGTTGGTGCCATCACTGACTATTGGGGATGAGTCATTGCCCCCCACGGAGAGGGTTCGCAACTTAGGCGTCCTCTTGGACTCACGGCTGTCTTTAGAAGAGCATTTGACAGCTGTGGCCGGGAGGTCTTTTTATCAGGTTCGCCTGATTCGCCAGTTGCGTCCCTTTCTGGATCGGGACTCGTTAAATACGGTCACTCATGCCCTCATCACTTCACGCCTGGACTACTGTAATGCTCTCTACATGGGGCTCCCCTTGAGGAGCACCCGGAGGCTCCAGCTGGTCCAGAATGCAGCCGCGCAGGTAGTTATGGGAGCAGCATGGCGCTCCCATGTGGCTCCCCTCCTGCGCGAGCTGCACTGGCTCCCTGTGGTCTTCCGGGTGCGCTTCAAGGTCTTAGTTACCACCTTTAGAGCGCTCCATGGCTTAGGACCGGGGTACTTACGAGACCGCCTTCTGCCACCAATAGCCTCTCACCGCCCAGTACGCTCCCATAGAGAGGGGCTTCTCAGGGTGCCGTCAGCCAGTGTCGACTGGCAGCCCCCAGGGGGAGAGCCTTTTCTGTGAGGGCACCCACCATCTGGAACGAGCTCCCCTCAGAGATACAGAAGATTCCGGATCTGCGCACTTTCCGCCGTGCCCTCAAAACATTCCTGTTTCAGCAGGCCGGCCTGGCCTAACTTTCCCTTTATATTGCTTTTGATTTTATTTTAAACTGGGATGTCTTGAATTATCTAAGACCAGAGTGTTTAGTATATTTTAATTGGTTTTTTATTAATGTTTGTATTACATGTATTTTTATCGTTCGCTGTTCACCGCCCTGAGTCCCTCAGGAATAGGGCAGTATATAAATTTAATAAATAAATAAATAATAAATAAGGGCATGGTGGGAGGAGCCTGGAATGTGGAGTCTGGGCAAAGACTCCTGGTGTGTGTGTGTGTCTGTGTGTGTCTGCCTGTCTGTGACAACGATAGCCCTCTTCAGAGACCTGGAAAGACAGAGGTCACACCAAAGAAGGGCAAAACTTGCTTTCTGTCCCTCTCCAGAATGGAGGACACGGAATAATGGATTCAAGTTACAGGAAGGAAGATCGAATGCCAGGAAAACATTTTAGTTTACAAAGAAGAAAGAATGAAATGAGGTGCAGCTGTACATACCGTGGGCTCAGTTTGAGAATGGGGATGGGTGGGGGGTCAGGAAGAAGGGCCCATACCCTCTCTGGGGTGGCTGGCCCTGACCCAGCTGGGCTAGGAAGCCATGGGCTGGTGGCACCAGGGACAGCGCCGCCTTGGTTGATCTTGGCAGGCAGAGGGAAAAGAGAGCCTGCTCCACCAGAGATGCTGCCCCATGGCAAGGAGATCCCAATAACAGGATAACAGAGCTGGAAAGGACTGTGGAGGTTTCCCAGTCCAACCCCCTGCTCAAGCAGGAGAACCTCTACCTTTTCAGACAAATGGCTCTCCAATCTCTTCTTTAAGACCTCCAGTGACAGCCTCTGGAGGGAAGGCCTTCCACGGATTAACTGTTCTCACGGTCAGGAAATTAATCCTTAATTCTAGGTCGGACTTCTTGATATATTTCCATCTGTTACTTCTTGTCTGGCCTTCAGGTGCTTTGGGAAATAGGTTGACCCTCTTTTCTCTGTGACAGCCCTTGGAATAGCGGTAGACGCTATCGTGTCACCCCCAGCCCTTTTCTTCGTTAGACTAGCCATGCCCAGTTCCTGCAACCGTTCTTCATATGTTTTATCCTCCAGTCCCCTAATCATCTTTGTTGCTTTTCTCTGCACTGTTTCCAGAGTCTCCACATCTTTTTTACATCGTGGCAACCAAAGGTGGATGCAGTACTCCAAGTGTGGCCTTACTAAGGCTTTACAAAGCGCTACTAGAACTTCACATGCAGCCCAGATCTCTCTCACACTTACTGCTCTTGAGCCAGCTGCCCCCTATCCTGTGTTTGTGTGTTTGTTTTTTCTTGCCTGACTCCTGTGGGCATCTTACATGCCTGCCCTTGGTTTAAGCCACCCAGGGGGCTGGCCCAGGACAGCAGCCCCCTCCCCAGCAGCACAGCCCAACATTGGAGGAATGTGGGTGCACAGCCACAGAACTGCCTTCTGCCCTCGGGGCTGGGGGGAACTGCCTCTTCTCTGTCATTTGGGGCAGGAAAGCATCTTGTGTTGTGCCTGGCTGGGAGAGAGAACTGGCCCCACTGGGCAGTCCTGGAATCAGAGGAGAGCTGGGGCTGGCTGGCAAAGGCACCCCGAGGAAGGGGGGCTCCATGTGACAGGCCTCCCAGGAGGACCCTGGCCTGGCCTTCAGGTTGTCCTCCAGCCCAGGGCAGAGATGGGCTCCCTCTACCCAGCACAATACCCAAGCCAAGATATCCAAAAAGGATCCGTCCTGTGCAGCTGTAAAAGGACTTTGTGCTCGGGAGATCCTTTAATTGACCAAATAAGGCGAAGGGAAGGAGCTGTGCTGCTAGTTCTTGGCCAGGCCTGCCAAAGGGTCAACCAGATAGTCCGGGGGCGGGGAGGCTTGCAGAATGTCCTGAACGTTCCCTAAAATTCTTGGAGGGGGGGTGTAGGAGTCACAGGGATGTATCCACCAAAGTTGAAAGAGGGAAGAGTGGGGACATCTGCTTCCCCCAAACTGCAGCCCAGGAAAAGGCAGGTCCTACTCCATGCTGCCCTCCCAGGGTCCCCTCCCCCAAAGCCCCTGGGATGCTTCAGGGGGTCGGCTGCTGGGTGGGACAAGAACAGGGTTTCTGCCCCTTCAGACGGTTAGGGCTCTTCCTGTCCCAGACACCCAGAAAGAGGCTCAGCCCAGAGGTCTCTCCGTCTCTGTCCTGGTGGGAAAGGCCAGCCTCGGTTTGGCCCCGGCCCGGGGGGCTTCGTGGGCCTAGCAGGACTGGGCAATGAAAGGTCCGTCCGCCACGCCCGGGGCAACGAGGGCAGAGATTGACTTTCAAGAACAGGCCCCGTCCTGCCTTCCTTCCCCGCGCGTGCGCCCCTTCCCCAGGGCATCCCTCTCGAGACCCGCGTGCGAGGCCACCGGGCAAACCAGGCAGCCCAACGCGGGGAGGGGGGCCTGCCCCAAGTCGGCGCTGGCTTGGCTTTCCGCCCCGCCCCGATTTCGCGGTCCCGCCGGTCCCTCCCCGCGGTGGGCGAGGGAGGAGGCGGGGAGGGCGGGGGCGCCTGTTCCCGGCCCGCCGTCATCGCCGCCACCTCGGGGCCGCGCTCCGCTGCCGTCGGGGCTCTCGCGATGGGCAGCAGCACCCTGGACCTGGACAAGCACGGACTGGCGCTGCTGGCCGCCAAGAGCGACGTGGTGAACGGCCGAGCGGCCGCCAGCTGGTGAGTGGCGCCGCTGCCCTTCCCCGGCCGGCCAGCGCCCGGGGCTCCGGGGCGCGGACTCCCTTCAGCGGCCGGGCTCCGGCTCCGCCGCTCCCGCGCGGGTGGGCGCCCGCCTGATGGGGGTCTCTGCAGCGCCGGAGCTCGGGGGCCGCGGCGGGGCCCGGACAGAGCAGGCCAAGCGCCGCTCCGCTCTCGGCTTTGGCTTTGGCCCCCGGACCGGGAAGGGTCCCGTGGCGTGTCTCGCGGGCAAGAGAAGTTCCGCAGCGCAAAGCGGCCGGCAGGCCAGCTGGGGCCTTTCCGCCAGTCGCCTCCTCGCCTCGTTGCCTGTAGCGGCTTCTGGAAGGCAGCCCGGCCCCGAAGCCGCTTCGCCCCCCGGAAATCCACGGGTAAAACTCGGGCGGAGAGTCCAAAGGGAAGGAGGCCCGACCCACCCGCCTCGGCCGCCCCGAGCCCTCCGCCGACGGGAGAAGCGCAGTCCTGGGACCTCCCTCGCAGCCCGGCCTGTCCCACCCCCTGCCTCGCCCCTTCGGCTCCTGGCCCTCGCCGGTCTCCACCGACCGAGGAAGCTGCCCGAGTTGGGGGAGGCGTCTCGGGGGCCACCCAGGGCTGCAGGAGGCGCCCTTCGGACAACGGACACGCCGCCGCCTTCCATCTGCTCCGCCAGGCTTCCCCACCCCCAGAAGCCCCAGGAGGGGGGGGCAAAGTGCTGTGCGCCTGGGGCGGACTGGTGGGTGACAGCTGTGCCCGCCGTGCCTCTTTCCCCACCGCACTCCATGTGAGAAGCTCAGCTCAGCACTGGACCCTTCTGCCCATCCTCTTGCCACTGGGTGCCATCTTCGGGATGTGGGAGCCTAGGCGGCACACTTGGCGGGGCATGGGGAGGGGGCTGGAGAATGGAAAGCAAGGGCTTCTGCCGGCCAGAGGGTGAGCTAAGCTCTACAAGGAAGTTCTGGGTGCAGGAACTGGGCGAGGCAGCCCTGGGGCTTGAGGACCAGCAGAAGGAGGCAGAAGCCTCTACTCCCTGGGCCCAGGGGTGAAATCCAGCAGGTTCTGACAGGTTCTGGAGAACCAGCAGCAGAAATTTTAAGTAGTTTGGAGAACCAGCAAATACCACCCCTTGCTGGCCCGAGAGTGCGGTGGGAATGGAGATTTTGCAGTAACATTCCCTTGGAGTGGGGTGGGAATGGAGATTTTGCACTATCCTTTCCCTGGAGTAGGGTGGGAATGGAGATTTTGCAGTATCCTTCCCTTGCCATGCCCACCAAGCCACGCCCACAGAACCGTTAGTAAAAACTTTGGATTTCACACCTGCCTGGGCCCCATCCCAGAAGGCTCTTGTTCAGTTGGTGGGAGGGCTGGGAGGGCTGGTGGGCAGGCCAGAAGAAAGGAAACTGGCCACACTGGTCCAGGGGGCTGATCCTACCAGGGTCCTGCCATCCAGGCTGCTGTAAGGAGGGCCTGGTTGAGCAGGAAAAGGAGAGCAGCGCAGCTTCTGGGATCTTCTTTCCTCTGGCAGCTGTGCACTCACAAGCCTTCCCTCCACAAGCAGTGTGAGTGCACAGGTGGATGGAGGCCAAGGTCAGGGTCAGGCATCAGAGGTTGTGGGGTTGGGGTCCATTTCAGAGCAAGAAATGGGGAGGATGGGGAGGAGGAGAGTCGGGAGCTGCCATTTGGCCCAGCCTTTGCCCTTTTCCTCGGAGGACGCTTGGCACCACCTGGGCGTCCCTGCTACTCCTGCTCAGTAACCAAGCCCAGCCCAGGAAGGCAGGAGTGGGCTAGCAGGCATGTGTGTTAGAAGATCTGCAAGATATTTGAGAGGGGATGGGAGGGGGGCACTGGGAGCTTGGCTTCCCCAGAGGGAAAGGAAGGAGCCAGCTGTGTTTTCATTGGATGCCCCCCCCCCGTGGCCATCCCACCCTAGCAAGGCTTCCGGAAGCACAGCAGGAAGGGCATGCTGAGGTCACCTCCTGGTGGTGGAGCACTTGGCCCCACATCTGCAGGGAGGGCCCCCCTCTGCCCTCTCCTCCATGCTGCCCCTTCAGCCTCCATTGTCTGAGAGCGGATGTGCTTCCTCCTGTTCAGAGGGAGAGACGGGGTGGTGGAAGCAACTGGGGGGGGGTTTCCACCTGCCAAGGCCCAAATGCCCAAATGCAAGATCACTATAACGAGATCAACGGCCCCAGGCCTGCTGGAAGAGCCAGGTCTTCACCACTTTTCGGAAGGCCAATAGGGTGGGGATGGTCCGGACCTCAGGAGGTAACTGGTTCCAGAGAGCTGGGGCAGAAGGCGGTCTCGAAGATAACCTGGCCCTGAGCCATGTAGGGCTTTAAAGGTAATAACCAACACCTTGAATTGCGCCTGGAGACCAATAGGGAGCCAGTGCAGCTCGCGGAGAATTGGTGTAATGTGGGTGTATCTAGGTGCACCCACTATAACTCACGCGGCTGCATTCTGGACCAACTGTAGTCTCCGAACACTTTTCAAGGGTAGCCCCATGTAGAGCCCCTAACTCAGTCTGGTTCCTAATGCTGACCCCCCTCTCTCTGTGCCATCCAGGGCCCTCTTTGCCTACGAAAATGCCAACGAGCTGAAGCTCCTGGACTCAGGGGGTAAGACGGGAACCCTTGCCTCTCTCTCCCTCCATTCAGTGGGACAGGATGCCCCAGAGATGGGGGTGGGGGCAGCCGGGGCCTTCTCAGTCTGATCAGCCTCCAGGTGAGGCAGGACAAGGCTCTACTCTGCCCAGCCAGGTGGGAGGCATTTCCTGGAGGGAGAAGGGGGCATCTAGTGGAGACAGCAGGGTAGCTCCCTGGGAAGGGGGATCAGGGCATAGGTGTATGGGCAGGAGCTGGTGGGCTTGGTGCCCGGGAGCCCCTGTGCCTAACCCCGCCTCCCCCTGCAGGAGGAGGCCCCGATGAACTGGCCAAGCGCTTCGAAAGCGGGCGCATCATGTATGGACTGTGCCGCCTGTGGGAGCCCACCGCAGGAGTGCCACACATCGTCCTGATCCACTGGGTGAGAATGGGGGAGAGGCAGCTGGGGGTGGGGGGTTTGCAGCTGGAGAACCAGCAAGAACTGTCCCTGGATGCCTCTTGAGAGACGTGAAACTGGGCCTCGCACAGTCGGTCCAAGCCCAGATCGCTCCGGCCTCAGGACTTGCGCTCAGCCTCCCCGTATTGCCAAGACGGGACGAGCTCCTGCGTCTCCCCCTTGGGCCATTCTGGATGCCTTCACAATGGCCTCCCTTCATCGTGATTGTTTCCCCATTGTTCACCACCCTGAGTGGGGAAAAAGGCAGCCTATCCCTTGGTGGGGAGGGGGGGATGCCTTGCTTTGGGCTAATGAATTGCCTCTGTGGGAGCTGTGCAGAAGTGGCAGGTTCTGTCTCTGGAAGAACCTGGAGTTCTACGGAACGCATACAGAGTGCATTTCCTCATGACCTCCCACGGAAGGAAGAAGTGCCGGATCTGAGCGAAGGCCTCTCTCCTCTGCTATCCTTCACCCCACACCCCAGCCCCCGGCTCACCAGATGTTCAGCCTCGAAAGAGCTGGGATTGTCCAGAATGTGGCAGTGAAGGAACTCTGATCAATGTCCAGAAAGAGGGGGGGGGGCTGTGCCTCGTCTCCAATTCTTTGGCAGCTCCCTTTGGGGAGGGCAGTCCTGCAAGAGCCATGTGATCTTGCTGGGGACCAGCCCGACCCTCATTGCCCAAAGGACACGGAAGGCAGCAATTGGGGGCTTCTGGAAGGGCCCACCCCTGCTAAAATTGTGCAGCTGCTGCAGGAGTCTTTGAGATGAGCCCCTGGCTCCCTCTTTGGCACTAGGTTGGCGAGAAAGTCCTGGACTCGCGCCAAGAAGCCTGTGCTGGGCATCTGCCAGCCATCCGGGCCTTCTTTAAGGTGGGTTCAATGTAGAGAGCGGCTCAGTGTTACTTGCCCCCGGTTGCTCCTGGGCCAGGAATGGGAAGCAGGTGGGGGTGAGGGGCTTTTTTGTGGATGAGAGGAGAGGCTTGGGAAAGGGGAGGGGAGGAGGCTCCATCTGGGCCCAGCTCCCCCCAGAGACAAAGGGCAGCTGCTCTTCCCGGACGGGTTGGGGGGAATCCCTGCACTGCCATCTCCTTTCTCCCTCTGCAGGAAGCCCACCTGGTGCTGAAGGCCAGCCGGGTGGAGGAGGTGACTCAGGAAGGACTTAACTGCCGGCTGTCCCTGGTGGCCCCCCCAGAACAGCCCCCCCCAGAAGCTGCCTTCCCCAAGAAGGACCTGAGTGGCGACCCCGAGGAACTGGTGGTGAGGAGGAAGGGGAGGGGTGGGCAGGGGTCCTCATGAATGGATGCTTGCACCCTAGCTCCTCACTGCTGGCAAGTGCACTGGCCAGGTTTCCCCTCTGCTTCCAACAGCCAGGCCCCTCCCTCATGGAGGACTGGGGGTCCTTGGGGCTTTTCCCGGAAAGGCACCTGCTGCCCCTGGGGAGGGGAGAGAGAGACGGATTGAGCTTGGGACTGGGCTGCCCAGTCGGGAGGACCTTCTCACTCGGTGCCCCCCTGCTCTGGCATGGAAGCCCCCCCCCCCAGCTGCCTGTCTGGAGAGCCTCTTGCCCGTTTGCCTTTAAGCAGCTGCGCCTGGGGGGCACCTGAGGGAGGTCCCCCCTCCCCGTTTGAGAGGCGCTGCTTTCAGGGACCCTCTTGGTCTCCTCAGGGGACCAACTACCAGAAGACCAATCCCGTCCTGGAGATCCTGCACACCAAGAGGACCTCCTTCTGGGCACAGGTGAAGGTGAGGGGGGGGTGCCTGCTGGGCTGGCCGAGGGCTGCAGGACAGTGAGGTGGGGGATGCCATTCTGCCTTCTCTGCCTCCCTCCAGAGGGAAGAGGAGGAGAGGCGCCAGGAGGAGAGGAGGAGAGCCCAGGAGGAGAGGCGGTGCTGGGAGCGCTTGCGCATGGAGGAGGAGCGCCGGGAAGCAGCCGAGCGGGAGCGCCGGGTGCAAGAGAAGGAGAGGCTCATCCAGGAGCAGAGGTGGGCAGGCAGGCCTTGTGCCAGGCCCCTTTCCTTTGGCTGCTGCGGCTTCCGGATGCCCTGTGCTCCCAACACCTTTGGCCTAGCTGAGTGGGGCGAATAAGGGACCGAACCCTGGAAAGAGGCTTCTCTTTGGGCAGAAATCATCTTCTGGCCCTTCTCGAGCTTGGCGACTTGAAGACATGAGGACTTCCTGGAGGATTCTGGGAGTTGAACTCCATGCAGCTTTAAGACGCCAAGCTTGTGAAACACTTGAAGTGCCCAGCCTCCCTTTCTGAGTTCCTCCAGCCACACTGCACCCCTGCCAGTGTCTCTGCCTTCCTCCCTTCGCCCAGGGAGAAACAGACCCTCCCCCCCCTGTGGCCCCGCGCCCCCCCCCCCCACGCAGGGTTCCTCTGTCTGGAAGGACCGAGATGGGATCACAGCGTGGTTGATGAGGGAGCCGAGTGGGGAGGCCGGCTCGGACTGTCCCGGAACTGGGCCACCCTGATAGGCTGGTGGCTCTTTTCTTTACTTCCCTTACAAACGGTTGAATAAGCTGCCAGCTTCAGGGCAGCAGAGCAACAAAGGCTGCTGCAGTCATGATGAAGCCAGAAGAGGGGCCTGGAGCCTGGCCCCCCTTCTCCTTAAGAGGGTCTGCTCTGGTCCCGCCAAATGAAGGGGAAGGACCTGCCCTGAGCAAAGTGGGGGGGGGGGTGGCGCCTCCCTTCAGGCTTTCTGGGAACGTGCCCCACCTTGTCAGGGAGCCCGGGCAGCCCTTGCCCATTGGATGCCTGCAGGAAGCTGAGTGGCTGCTGCCAGTGCTGGATGAGGCAGCTCCAGAAACAGCCATTGACTCAGTGCTGGAGCCCTGCTCTCTTCAGCCGCGTCCCCATTGCCTTCTCTGCCTCCTTGAGCAGGGCAGCCTGGGGGCCTCTGGGGCCCAGGGCAGGGCCTGTCGACTGGGGAATATTTGACAGATCAGCCTCCTTCCCAATTGCTTTCATTTCTACATCATCCTGGGAACTGTTGGAGGGTGAAAGACTGAAAAGAAATGTTAAAAAGCAGCATTTTAAATCAGGTGGTTCAACCTGAGGCATAGAAGCCCCCACAAAAGGGGGGCTTCCCCAAGACGGGTCCTTTAGTGGAGTGTTTCTGAACAGGCGCCAGTGCAGATGTAGCAGCGTCCATAACTTCAAAGCAGCCGCCTCTTTTCTCAGAAGTGCAAGCAATTCCATGAAAATCCAGAGTCGCTTAAAAGGCCCACAGACTGTGGCTACCTATCTGCTTCTGTTGGCTCCAAAGTACCTCAAATGCATTGAAAAGATACACATGGAATAAAATACAGCTGTTGTGCTGCCTCCATCTACTTCTGACGCTGGTGTTCCCAGATGGGGGGGCAACTAGGGGAAGATTGGTGCCCCCCTGTGGGAGGTGGGGGCTTCTCCTGAATGGCTCTGCCCCTCCCTCCACAGGAAGCAGCAGGCCCAGCGGGAAGCAGAAGAGCACCGGTGGGAAGAGGCCCGGCGGGTGAGTGTCCTGCAGAGACCACATGGCCCCCCTCCACATCTGGGGACAAGTAGGGTGGGGCAGGGCCCTTGGTTGATCCTGGGATGGGGAAGAGGGGCTGCGGGAGCTTCATCTGCGGGGCTGAAGGTGGTTTGGCAGGCTGAAGTCCAGCAAGTGACTCTTCTCCACCTGTTGAACTGATGCCTGCCCTGCAACCCCAAGGGCATTTTGGCCCCTGAGCATTTCTTTTCTCTCCTCTCCCTTGGCAGCGGGAGCAAGCAAGAGCTATAGCTGGGACGAGTCCTCAGAGCTGGGCAAGTGAGACGGCCCTGGTGAGAAGATGGCAGCTAGGCGGGTGGGCGGGGCTGGCAGTGAAGCCTTGGCTTGGGGTGCTGAGGTGCCAGAGGGCTGGGGACACGCTTGGTGGCTCTGTGGAGGAGGCCTGTGGCTAAGCAGAACCTCAGTGTGGGCTGAGGGGGCCATGTGGCCACTGCAGGGCACTCATCTGCTGGGTCTCTTCCCACCAGTGCTCTTCTGCCCCCGGCCCCCCACTCCACCCTTGGTGGAAGCAGAGTCACCGCTTGTCTGGGATCTAAAGGGGATCTGCCTCTGTGTGGGGGGGGGGAGTTGGCAGTAGGTGAGGCCCTCACAGCTTTTGTTTTGGGCACAGGAGGTGGCAGGGCCAGGCGGACAGCAGCCCTCCAGGAGAGGCTTCTTCCAGAGAGAGCAGCTGGGCTCCTCTGCCTCGGGAGATCCAGGGCCAGGTGAGCCCCGGGCTTTGCCCGGATCAGCCCTGCTGGACCGCAGGAGCACCCCCTCCGCCCTGTGGTAACAACGGGGGCAGGAGTGGGGGCAGCTACTTCCCGAAGGAAGGAATGAGGAGGACTGTCTCTCCTCCTCCCCGCCTTCCTGGCATTCTTTGACATCTGAGTAATTCAGGGCTTGGCGACTTCTGAACCCCAACAGATTTGGGGGGGGGGATTTTGGTCCATACAGTGTGTGTGTATGGGGGGGGGTTAGGCTGGCTTTGCTGACGCATCTTCTCTCTCTCCCCATCCACCCCCACGCTGCCCGGATAGGAGTGCCGCGGCGCCCTTTCCTCCGCTACCAGCGCAGCCTCACGGAATCCGCTTACATCTTTCACTGCCCCCCACAGCGGGACCTCCCGGGCAACTTCCAGGCTTCAGTGGCTCCCCCCATCGGCCCCAAGTCCGGCACTGCCCCCCGAGTCAGCCTCACCTCCCACCAGCATCCTGCCTGCTCATCATGAAGCAGAGGCAGTGCCACTACCATGCGCCCCCCCCTGCCTGCCCCCCACAGCCCTCAGCTGTGCTTTGAATGGCACCCTAGCCGAGCCTCCCCACCGGCTCCCCTCCCCTGAATCTGAATACTTTCTGGGACAGGAGAGCCCCCTTTTGACTCCCCCGGGGTCCTGCTCCCCCCCTGCAGAGGAATCTCAGGCCCCCAGCCACGCCCCAGAGGGGCAAATGTCCCCCAGCCCAGCCCAGGGCACCAATGGAAGGGCAATGGACTGGGTGGAGCTGCGCATCCCCACAGCAAACTCTCCCCCAAGGGCTGCTCTAGGGGAGGCAGCCCCCGAGAAAGGTAAGGCCCAAGTCTTGTTCCAGGGGGCAGGGGGTGGGGGGGTGGCTGCCATGGCTTGCTTGAGATTCAGGCAGTGCAGAATTGTGCAAACAGCCAGAACTGGTGTGTGTGTGTGTGTGTGTGTGTGTGTGTGCTCGCGCTTGAGCTGGGACCCTCGGTCACCACCTGCTGGGATCCTGTCTCTTGAGTGGGGGGGAAACAGCTGAGCGGCAAGCTGAGAGTCCCAGGTTCTGTTAAGTCTCTGTTTTGCTTGCATTTGGAGGAATTACTTGGCTTGACCTGTGGCTAAGGGACCATCCCTGCTTGGTTCAGGGCCGGGGGATGCCCCAAAGATCAGGCTTCTGCCCCACCTTTCCTTTCCCAGGTGCTTCACCAGGAACTGCTCCAGGCCAGGCTGGGTCCATCCTGTCTTCCATGCGCAGAGGATCAGGGGGGGAGAGAGCCCGGGCCAAGCAGGTGGGTCACTGGCTCAGATGTTGATCTCCTGCTTTAAATCACTCCTCACCCGATTGATGCAGGAATTTCCCTTCTCTTTATTCCAACCCCACCTCTGCAAGGTAGGCCAGGGTGAGAGAGAGTGGCCGACCCAGAAGCCCCCAAGGGCTGAGGCTGCCTCTGGCTCTAGCAGGTGGCCGAGTGAGTGTGTCCCTTCCTCACAACCACCTTCGCTCCCTCTCCGTCAGCTCTCACCTGGGGACACACCACCTCCAGGTCTCCGGCCAGTCAGTTAAGGGCTGCTTTCTCTCTGCAGGACAACCAGCCCCACGATGGGCGGCTGCCCTGACTGCCCGGCTTCTGCCCGCTCAGCAGAGCCCAGGGTTGCTGCTTGGAGGAGGTGCCTGTCTGTCCTTGTGTCCGAGGGCGGCCCCCACCTGCAGCCAGAGCAGAGCAGCCGCTGGCTCCCTCTACTTCACACCAGCGGAACCTGGGCCTGCCTGCTACTAGTGCTGCGGTCACATAAACACGCGATGTCCGAGCAAATAAACCACTTTTTGGCTTAACCGAAGACGACCCTGCTTCATGGAAGGTCCTGTCAGGTCGCAGATGGAGGCCTGCGGGGGCAGGGTGGACCCTGAGATTGTGTCTGTGTCTGTAACCTCCTACCTCCCCTCCCCCAGTACAGGAGCAAGCCCTGCAGAGCCAAGATGCCAAAGCCTCCCCCCCTCCCAGGGGCTCTGCCAGCCCCCTCCCACAGACCCAGCCTGCACTATAGAGGGCAAGTCAATACACTTTAATGCATATTCACAGGAAGGGAGGCTGCTGGCCTCCACACACAGCCGTTTGGAGGGAAGGGCTGCCCACCCCGCTTCCTCCTCCATGCAAATCCCTGCAGCTTGAGGAGGGAGGGTTGTGAGGAAGAGGCCAGGCTGAAGGCAAATGGGGACCGTTGGCCCCTGGCAAGGAAAGAGCTCGGCCTCTCTTCTGTTTCAACAGGAAATATTCCAGTTTCTTACAAAGGAAAGCAAGGTGCTTTTCTCCTGAAAAGGGAGGGGTCTGGCTGTGGGGCCTTGCCCCCACCTCCGTGGCCAGCTGCTTCTCTAGCCAGGTCGGCCCCTCTCCACGGTCAGAGATGGGGAGTGTGGCCTAGGCCACTTTGCCTCTCCAAGGCTAAGCCCCTGAACAACGCAGACCCTCGGTTCTTGGCAGCCTCAGACCTGGGACTGCAGCCACAAGCGAGGGTCAAACCAGGGCCGGGCAGCGGTCTGCAGGGTCCGCTCTGAGTCCGGAGTTGAGCTGCAGCTGCTGGAGGACCCTGAGCTGGAGCAGGAAGGCCCATGGATCTTGGGCAAAGGGGAAGGCGGTGGCCGTCCTGCACGCCCCTTCAGCCTGCTGAGCTTGGCGTCCAGCGAGAGAGTGCGAGGCCGACCCCAGGGGGGCTGAGCGGGGCATGGGCCGGTGCTGGAGTTGCAGTTGGAAGCGATGCCGGGTGAGGAGCCCTCGAAGAGAGAGAGCCACACAGGCTCGCCCAGGTCGGAGACCCGCCGGGCCAGGATCTCGGTCACCGCCTCGATGTCATCGGCCGGCTCAATAGCTGCAGGAAAGGGGGAGAGGGGCTTCGTTAAGAGGTGCCCTGGACTCTTCCGGTTCCTGCAGGGACAACCCCCCAACCCAGGAGAGCTGCCGTTCAGCACAAAAGCACTCAGAAAATGGCCCGCTGGTCAGTTGGTGGGGTCCGGAGGGCATTCAGCCACATATCCACTCCTCCTGTCTTGGCCCCCACCTTCCCCGAGGCTTCTGCGGCATAGCAGCCCTCCTCCCTGCGGCTGTGGGCTGCTCGGCCCAGCCCTGCCGGCCCCTCCACCGGTGCAATTACTTCACCTGTCACTGTAATAGTTGGACAGAAGTGCCCGAATCTCTGCAGAGACAGCGTTGTCCTGCAACAGAAGCCCCTCGCAGTTGGAGGGCGGCCCCCCAGCGCCAGGGAGAGCTGGGGCAGGAAAGACAGACAGGAGGGACATGCAGAGAGAGGAGAGTAGGATGAGAGCAGAGAGTTACAGACACAGACACTGGATCAGGGGCAAGACAGACCCCAGAGACGTGGAGCTGGAAAAGGGGGCAGAAAAGACAGAGACCCTCCCCTCCAGATTCGGGAGGCACACGTGACCCTCACAGCCCGCACTTCTGCCCCAGGGATGCCGGCCCCTGTCAGCCTCACCCATCTCATGGTACAGGGATCCCTGCTTGGGCAGCAGCATCGGAGGGCGGCGCGGAGATGGCACCTCCACCGTCATCACTTCATCGCAGCAGTGTTTCCACTGGCCTGGGGGGGGGGGGCACAGAGGCATAAAGGGAGGGTCATCTGGCTTGGGGGGACGTCCTGTGGCATCAAAGGAAGGCTGGCCTTGGAGGCCCCCGAATGTTCTTGGCTGCAGTGGGGAGTGCCCCAGATCCAGCTCGGAAGTGAAGGTTGTGCCCAACGCCCCCCAGACACCCGGCCTCCTTGTGTCTTCGGACTGCTGCCCCCATCAAATGAATCAGGGCTGCGTCCAGGGAGGCCTGTCCTCCTTACCCCCTCCCAGCCCCCCTGCCTCGGCCTCTCCTCCACTCACTCATGTCGTAGAAGTGCTGCCAGAAGACTTCCATCCAGCGCTGGGCCTCCACAGGAGACTCGGCCTGCAGCGTGTGGGTCACTTCCTCGCCTCCGTAGTGGTTGGTGACCGACATGCAGCGGACGGGGCCCCTGGGGCTCTTCTCGCTGGCCCGGATGCGCGTCTCCTGCCCAGGGAAAGAGGCCCAGGGCTCACCATGGCTGTGGGGCCAGATGCCATGTCCCTTGGGCTGGGACAGGGGCAGGAAGGGGCCCAAAGCGATGGGAAACGGAGGCCTCCCTTCTACCAGGGCGTTAGGAAGGAAGGGAAGCCCAGAAATATATAACTGTCTGGTTTGGTTCTGCAACCCAACAAGACAGACACAGACTTAAGAGGATAAGTAGAACTGCAGAAAAAAACAATGGCTACCAACCTACCTTCCATTGAGGACCTGCATACTGCACGAGTCAAAAAGAGGGCTGTGAAAATATCTACAGACCCCTCGCATCCTGGACATAAACTGTTTCAACTCCTACCCTCAAAACGAGGCTATAGAGCACTGCACACCAGAACAACTAGACACAAGGACAGGTTTTTCCCCCTGAACGCCATCACTCTGCTAAACAACTAATTCCCTCAACACTGTCAAACTAGTTAGTAAGTCTGCACTACTATTAATCTCGTCATCGTCCCTTTCACCCATCTCCTCCCACTTATGACTGTAGGACTGTAACCTTGTTGCTGGTATCCTTAAGATTTAGTTTCCTAATATGATTTGATTGCTTATTTGTTCCCTATCACTATCATTAAGTGTTGTACTTTATGATTCTTGACGGATGTAGCTTTTCTTTTATGTACTCCGAGAGCGTATGCACCAAGACAAATTCCTTGTGTGTCCAATCACGCTTGGCCAATAAAGAATTCTATTCTATCCTAGATGTGGAAGGCTTTGGAAGAGTTTCTGAAAGGGTGAGCTTAAGAGGCAGGATATTTTCTGTGATCTGAAACCTGGCAAGGGAGGGTCCCAGCCTGCCAGCAAAGAGGTGGCATCGGAGTGGGTGAGGGAAGGCAGTCTGGCAAGGTTTGCTCAGCTGATCCACATGGACAGTGGACAGCAAAGAGGGCCTGCCTGCGAGCCATGAGGTCCCAGTGCCCCAGCCGTACCTTGTTGATGGCAATGGTGAAGGCAGCCTCTTCCTGGCCCTCTGCATCCTGGGGGCGCCGGTAGCAGAGAAGGTTGGTGCCACGCAGGACACAAAAGAGCCTCGGCCAGTCCAGCTGCTCCCCCTGCTGCACAGACAGGCGGCACGTGGCTTGGCATCCTTTCTCCTTCCCCCTCCCCCGAGGCCAAAGCCCTCCACCCAGCTGCAGAAGGTGCTTCTCTCAGCACCGGTCAGCTCAGGTGTAAGGTGGGGGCACTGCATGTCCCTGGCCCCCGGGAGTGGGGGGGCTGCTTCCCTCCTTCCACAGGTGAAGCCCTTACCTGCACTTTCAGGAAGCCAGCCATCACCTGCTCCACCATGCAGCTGGGCTGGGCCACCAGGCGGCAGCAGAGGCTGCCATACAGGGGCAGCCAGAAGGAGCTCTCCTCTAGGGGAGAAGGGGGTGTCAAGCGGGGGCCGAATTGGGGGTTCAGTGAAAGGTCTCCAGCCACAGGCTCAAGCATGTGAGGAGCTCGTCAGCCTTCCAGGATCCCCCGTCGCCCTGCGAGGGCCCCAACACCAGGTGTGAGGGATGCCCACAGTCCTCTTCTGTGCCTACCATTGCCAGTGATGAGGAGGTCATGGGTGCGAAAGGCGTCCTGGACGTGCGCCAGGCCAAGGTGGGCACAGGCCAGCAATTGATATTTGGGCCCCCTGGAAAAGAAGGGGCATCCTGCTGGTGAGGCAGCTGGGGGGGCGGGTGTTGCAGGCTCCCCCAGGTAAGTGAGAAGGGTACTCACGCTGTGCTGGGGGCTGGGGGTAGCAGCAGCGGACTGTACCCCCCGTTGTTGCCTGAGCTGCTCCCGTCCAGGGCAGCCCGCATCTGCTTCCCCGAGGAGCGCCCCAGGGAGCTGCTCAGGCGGCTGGCCAGCTTCTTGGGGGTGGCGCCCAGGGCCGAGTCCTCCTCCAGGGCGGCGCTGTACAGCTCAATTTTCAGCTCAAAGCCTGGGCCAGACTCGGTGCTGGGGAGAGAGGAGGAGACGCCCCACGCAGGCTCTGAGCACCACCAGGATCCCGGCTGGCTGGCCGAAGCACCAAGGCCAGGTCCCAGGGGCAGCCTCTGGGCTCAGGCCAGGCCTGCGGGTACCCACCTTCTGCAGGCCTTGAGGTTTCCTCCTGAGCCCTCCCTGGGGCACCAACTTCGCCATTCCCAAAATGCCCAATTCCACCCGAAATGCATTGTGCCGGGGACCCGTCAGATCTGGAGTCAGGTGGGTCCCCCTCCTCCCCTTCACTGCCTGGGGCTGAGGCGGGATTGCCAAGTGGTCAGCCAGGGAGGTGAGGCTCACAAGAGCACGGAGGTCTCAAAGCAGATGTCGGCCAGGGTCCGGTCCACCAGCACCATCTCCGTGTCATAGATTTCTGTGCCGATCTGCAGCAGGCAGAACACTGCACAGCGATGCAAGTCTGGAAAAAAGGGGGAAATGGGGCATTTAGTGCCCCAGCTGCAATCCCCGCAGCTCTGAGGCCATTGTGGTGGGCATGCACACACACGCACACTTGATCAGCTTCTTTCACGGTAGCTCCACAGGCGCTGGAAGTTACAGAGGAGCCTCTTCCAAAGTACGGGTAGGAGCAGGGTAGGGTGGGGGCTGGCCAGGACCTGCTGATCCCCGGGCTCAACCGTCCAGCTGGCCAAAGGAGCAGAGGCTGTTTTAACCCCGAGTCCAGGACAGAGCTTGGAATTCTTCTTCACCTCAGGCGGGCCTGTCTTAATTGGCAGACATCATTTTTTTTTCCCATGCTGTACCCATCCCATCCCATCCCATCCCATCCCATCCCTCTCCGCTCCGATTCAGCTCCATTCCAAACTGAACAAGTGGCATACAAGAAAAAATGCATGAAAAGCAAAAGCAGCATTAATAGTTCCATCCACCAGGGGGCCACAGTAACACACTAACATGCACAAACAGGGACTATCTAACAGACTCCTTTTCTCAGCCCTGCAAAAATCCAGCCAGGAAGAAGCTGTCCCAGGCACGGGAGGGGCCCATCGGGGAAAAGCCCCATTCCTGGGCCCCTGCAGGTAAATCTCCCTCAGCAATGGGACCCACAAGGGTACTGAGCTCTTCAGAAGGAGCAGGACCCCATGGAAAAACTGACTTTCAGTGGCCTGGAAGGATTCCCCGAGATGTAGCTTCCACAGCCTAAAGCTCCTCAACAATAGTTCAAACCGCCCCGTCTCCTTGAAATGATGGGAATTGACAACATCTGAAGGGCACCTTGGCTGGGAAGGGCCAGGATCATTTCTACGCACCATTTTTTATTAAAAATGCAGTGCAAAGATAGACAGCAGACAACACAGGTCAATTGGGCATCTGCGGCATCACAGACATCAGTCAAATACGGCCATCCTTTCTTTCTTTCTTTCGTCAAAGGAGATTTCAGCTAAACTCAGCCTCGCTAAACTTTATTTGGCCAAGTGTGATTAGACATACAAGGAATTTGTCTCCAGTACAGAAGCTTGTTCCAACGCCCTGAGTAAAGTCTCTACGTAGCTGTTGGGTCCAGGTGAGAAACGAACGGAAGGGAGGAGGAGATAGACAATGTGGGGAGCACCAGCGAGAGAACCTACCCCCCTTGTTCTTGAAGTATTCTGTGTCCTTCCACATCAGGGGGATCCGTAGATCTGGAAAAAAGGGAAGAGTTACGGACCACGATCTCTAGGACCACACACAGCAGGAAGGCCACTGATGCGTGGCTTGTTGACCGTCACAAACCTTAGTCCCCCGCCTTTGAGACAAACATAAAGGAGGGGGCCGAAATGGAGCACAGTGGCCTCTTAGGCAGTGACCGGCTCACTCGGCTTCTGCTCTGCCTGCCCGATTTGGGGGAAAGGCCTCTCCCCCAGGTCGCCTCCAGCAGGATGGCTGTGGTGAAATCGCCTGCCTTGAGCTCAGTGCCCTCCAAGGGACCTCTGCACTTCCCTGGGAGCAAGACCGGAAGTGGATCCCTCCTGACCAGAAGCCGGGCAACTGATCCTTTGGGTGGGGGCCAGGCTCCAATGCTGCCCGCTGCAGGTCGGGGAGCTCTTCAACAGGACCTGCGGGGCTGCTGCCCCACACAATCCTGGCTGTGCACAGGCTGCGCTTTGGGCTTGGGGAAGCCTCACCTGCCCCCTGCCCTGGCCCCAAAGGTCTAAGGGACTGGAAGCTGAGCCTGGCTGGGCGAGATGGAGCCGGAATGGAAAGGCAAAACCAGCATCTCTGCTGGAGGAAACTCCAGTTGCCCACCCTTGACTGGAAGGCAGTTACAAAAGCACCAGGTGAGCCGTGCCGGTTTCATAGCAAGTCTGAATGGTGGGTTCCATCTGCGGTTTCCCCTGCAGGAGAAGAGGAGGCAGCGCAGCCAGGAACTCGGGCAGGAGATGAAGCTTTGCCTGGCTTCCTTATAAGGCTCTGCTTCTTTAGCCCAGATCAGGGGAAATGAAGTTGGGGTAGCTGAGGTCTTTCCTCCTTCAATGTGATTCTTCTGTTATTTCTCGCAAAACTTTCCTGATTAGCAAATACGAATGCTAATGATACTATCATTCGGCTGTTAGGTTCCTCTTCTTTCAAACCATAAAAGGTGAATTGAAAAAAGATTTGCTCTTTTCTCTTAACTAATATGCTACCTGAGGCTGGGAACGTGTATACATGCTGCAAAATACAACATCCCTTTGAGGAGTCAGTGGTTGGGATGAGGCCCACCCTCCCATTTCTTTTCTCGCCCTGGCCTGCGTGGGGGAAGCCAAGCCCGGCCAGGCTTGAGCCCCGAGGACCAGCCCCCTCCTTACCTGAGACACAGATTCGGCCCCGACATGGTAAGCGACCGTCCGTGGATCCAACCTCAGAAGGACTAAGTTGTGGAGCAGGAAGGAGAGGTGAGAGTGAAACCAAGTATTATTAAACCAACAACGGTTACAATTATTAAACTACTCTGATACCAGCACAGAATTTATGGCTCTGGCTGTCACCAGAAAGACAGTATTTCTTAGTAGCAGCTGAGATAATCAAGCATGAACTGAGTGAAACAGGTGTGCTGGAGGGGAACTAATATCTGGGGATTAAGGTGAACAAGGGAGTCCCTAACCACTTTTCACCTGTATGAAACCAAGGGAGGAATGGAGGGCTCAGAGCAGGGGGCTGGGTGGGGTGAGTTGCTCTGCTGTCTGCCCAGCATGGCGGAAGGGAGGTCAAAAACCCTGAAACTGCCAGGAGGAGAGGCTTTCCTCACCCCTTCCCCACATTCCCCACTCCTGCGGCTCATTCCCAAAGTGAGGCAGCCCCAAAGATCCTCGACTGGGTCCCAATCCCCACGGAAGGAGCAGGGGGGGAAAGGAAAGGGCTGCCAGGTGGAGGGAGCCAGCTGCCTCCCCTGATACAAGGAGGGGGGGGAATGAGGTTTCCATGGCAACAGAACCCAGCAGGGCACGGAGGAACTGGCGGGGTGGGGGTGGGGGGCTCCAGGATGCCTGAATCGCTACTTCCTTGGCCAGACTTCCCAGGCCCTCTGCACTGACCCACCAAGACTTCCAGAGGCCAACTCACCGCCGAGCCATGTGCTGCATCACCTGCGCCTCCTTCATGCGCTGCAGCTCCGCCATGTAGGCCAGGATGCGGCTGTTGCAGACAAGCAGGCTCTTGGTCACCTCCAGCGCCTGCGGCCGCTGAGTACAAGCCACCAACAGCTTGCAGGCCCCCTCCCGCATGCGGATCTCGTGGTCAATTTTCTTCTGGAGGTCTGTGCCCTGGGGGTGGAGGGGACGCGGCTGAAGGGAGCGGGTGCAAAAGTTTGGGGGTAACAAGGGGGGGCTCGGGACAGAAGGCTCTGGAGGTGGGTGGGGGAGGGGAGACCAGTGAGCTGGCCTGGTGCCCGATGGCTTTAGGGGCCGGTGGGGAAAGAAGAGGCGGCCCCACAGAGCCCTCTCCCTGGTCCACTTGCAGGGGTGCTTCAGGGAAGAGAAGAACCTGGCGGCAGCAGCGCTGTAAGAGCAGCCACACATCTGGAGGGCGCCGTCCCCCGTTGCCCCCCTCCTTTTCCTCCCACTTATGGAAAGACAGCTTTGCTCTGAAAGGAGGCATTTCACTGCAGGGGGAGCAGGGATTGGACCCCCCCAAAAAAATTTCAGGAAGGGTCACTGCTCTAAAATCGGGGCTGGGGGAGCTTGCAGCAGACCCTCCCGCCGAAAATCCTCCCCCATCTGGCAGCTGGGCAAGAAGGCCCTAAGATCTCCCCCCCTTGCAGTCTCATACCCCACCCCCTTTGGGGCGGGGGGGGGGCCCCGGGGGGGCCAGGGGGGGGGGGGGCAGCTTTTGCAGCAGCTGCAACGCAGAGAAGCTCCCCCCCCTCTGGGCCTGGAATGCTGCAGGGGGGTTGGGAGAAGAGGGTCAGCTCTTTTCGGAATGCCCCCTTGGCCCAGAGGCCAACCCAGAGGGGGGAGGAGAGCAGGACGGATTGTGACCCACTACCCCCCCCCGTGCCTTAATTGGGACGTAGGGAGGTCGGCCCCCCCTCAGAATGCGCTCGGCCGCCCCCAACCCAGCGCTGGCTATTCCGGCAGTCGCCTCCTTCTCTTCCCCCAGCTCCACGCTCACCCTGGCCGGCTTCCCGTTCTCCATGCCACCGGCTCATAGCCCGGGGCCGCCTCCGCCCCGTTCGCTCCGCTGCGGCGAGGTTCTCCTGCTGGCGGCAGCTGCGCCGGCGGGGAGGGGGCGCCTGAGCAGGGTCTGCGGGGGGGGGCTGTGACATCACCGCTGCCTAAAAATAGTTCGGGTGGGATCTGCGGGGGTCGCAATGCCCCGCGGGGAGGAGACAACTGCGGAGGGACCCCTGCCCAAAGCCCAGCGACCTTGCCACGGGGGCGCGCCTGCCTTCTCTCGGAGCAGAGAGGGGGACCTCCATTGGGGGGGGGCTGATGGACAGAGAGGGCCCGATCCGCTGAAGGCTGAGAAGGCAAATGGGGAGGGGTCCCCGCCGCCATTCAGTGCCAAAGCACAAGAGTCTCGGAGCCGTTTCTGCTCCCAGGCAGGGCATCCTCGTCCCCAAGGGGCCACTCCATTTCTCTCCAGCATCATCTGCCTTTATTCACCCCTAGACCAGATGCCCCCACCCCCTCCTGCCAGGGCGCTTGGCCTCTTCTGTGGACAAAGAGAAAGCAAAGGGGTGGGGAAGCCTTCTCAGCTCAGGAAGGCAGCTAGGAAACCGAGGTCCAGGTTGAAAGGCCCCCTGCACCCCCCCCCCCCAGGAAACAGTGGTCACCCCAGGCTCTGGGCCCTTTCCTGGCTCAGCCATGCAATGGGGGTGGATGGGTCTGAAGGCTGGGCAGTTGCAAGCAGCAAATATCCATGGATCTGCAGCCAAAATGGGGTCATCCCCCCACCCCGAAATCTGTGGAGCCACGTGATGCCCTTTTAGGGCCCCAGGCAAGATGATTCCTGACCAGTATTGCCCTATTCCAAGATCCAGGAGGGAAATGCAAGAGATGGCACCTCCTTCCAATCCTGCCAGCCCACCACAACTCCTCTTTTGGGCAGCCAAGCAGAAACACACTGAGTTCCAGGGCTCCGGCCCCTGAAGGGCACACAGTAAGACGAAGCTGGGCAACGCCCACCACACCTGCATGCCCACTGACTTCTCGGGAGCAGTAAGGGATCCAACAGGTAGAGCTCACAAGATGCAGCAATGTCACCAAGGAAGCCACAGGCAAAGTGCATGGCAGCCGTGGTTAAAGGACCCCAGCCCAGGGAGCCCCTCGCCACATCTCTCTCCCTTTCAAGAAGTGTGGAGGGATCTGCCAGAAAGGGGAAGAAGAAGGACCCTGTCGGAGGTCACCAGAGGCTGCCGGCTGAGAGCAGCGCTGCTACTCTCGCGTGGGGTCCGCTGGGGACCCCACTAAGACCCAGGGGAGTCAAAAGCGTCTCCTGGAAGACAGCCACATGGTTGCCACCCAAACTGGAGGGACACACCTGCAAAGTCCCTGGGCTCAGTTTGCAGCCCCTCCTTAGGAACGGGCATCTGCAGGAGGACTTCTTTCTGGCCCTCTAGTCCTCCTGTAGATGCCCCCCCACCCCGAGTCGCACTGGCAAAATGGACCATATAAATTGAAATACACCCACCCACATGCTGACTCACACCCACAAACATCCCCCCTCTAAAAGCAGCAACGTCCAGCAGCAGGGCAGTCCGGCCACGGTACCTCCAGGCTGAGGGCGATCTGCCGGATGTAGAGCATGTTCAGGTCCTCCAGGATGTGCAGCTTGTCCTGCATTGCCCCAGGCCCCCTGCGCACGCCCCCTCGAGGCCCACCTGGAGGTGTGGTTTCAGAGCAAAGACCCCCAAACCCAGCTTCCCATGGAGCTCGACCCCAGCAGACTCTGGGGCTGCTTTTGAGGCAAGATGGGGGGTGGTGGATGCAACAGGCTCCCTGCTCCGGCCCCTCTGTCAGCAGATGCTGCTCTCCTGGGCCAGCTGTGGAAAGAATAGGCCCTTTCTTTCATGCCAGCCCAGCAGCTCCAACGCCCACCCTGAGAACAAGCAGCCACTGTGCCTGAAAGGGCAGGGCTGGGGGGCCCAGAGGCTGCACCCAGCTGCCAAGCAGGGCGCAGCCCTCCCCCTCTGTCTCCAGGCTCTGCAGTGCCACCACCCTCAGCCAGCCAGGGGCCTGGGGGGACTCCCACTGCCCAGGCATGGCTTCCCGGAATGGCCAGTTTGGACAGAGGGGCTTTGGGGTGCCCTGGGCAGGCGGATGCTGCTGCCCCCTGCTGACTGGCCCAGGAACTTTCCTCTGTTCTCCCGAGTTGAGATTCGAGCAGTGGCAGCTCTGCCCGGCTGGCCCTCCCCAGCCCTTACCTCCTACGCGAGGATGGCTGCCTTGCCCATGTCCCCCTGCCCTTCCCTCCTGGGTCGTAGCAGGCGCTCCATGCACAGGAAATCTGCCTGGCTTCCACCCCCCCACCCCCCGCCAGCCTTCCTGTTCCAGCTCATCTTACAAGGGCCGCCCCTCCAAGCTGGCCGCTCCAGCAGTCTCACCTCCCCTTCAGAAACATCCCTCCCTCCCTCCCTCCCGCCTGCCCGCCCTGCGATGGAAGAAAGCAGGCGGGTGGGCGGCCCCTTGCCCTCAGCATTCTCAGCCGGGCAGGGGAGCCCTCTCTACCCACCAACCCCAGCCAGGCACCATCTCAACTCCAGCCCAGAAACTTCTCTGCTCCCTGAGGTCCAAGTCCCAGCCAGAAGCCCCTGAGGCTGTGCCAGCCCTCGGCCACCAGAGGGCAGCCAACGTCCCTTAAAGGGCCAAGAGGAGAAGCTGAGCCCCCCGAGAGATGCCAGGGGGCTCCCGTGCCAATCACCTCTTCGGGTGGCTTTTCCTGGGGTGCCATCCTCTGTGAGGCAGTGCGGAAAAATGTGCCCTGGGCAGGGGAGTGGGATGATGTGGGAAGGTGTTTCCTCTGGATGAGAACACCCAGCCGGCCCCACTAAGGACTTTCCCTTCTCCTAGGGCTGAGCACAGGGGTGAAATACTCCCAGTTCGGACCGGATTGGCCGATCTGGTAGCGATGGCGGCAGGTGGTTTGGAGAACCGGTAGCAAAAATCCCTGCCCCGCCCATGCCCATCCAATCACCCGGTCACCCACTTGCTGCTTCTTTTAAAAAATGCTTTTAAAAGGTAAAAAAAGGGCTCTGACAATCACAGCTGAGCTGCGTGATCCTCAGTGCCTTTTCTTTCTTTTAAAAGCATTTTTTTACAACGTATTCGGCTGAAAAGCAGACCAGTGATCTACTCCAGAGACTTCCGTTTCCTGCTTTCATTTTTTCCCAGCCCTGTGACTGAATGTCTACATGGTGCTTCCCAGCCATTTAGGTCATGGTTGCCCCAAAGGTGCTTTTTCAAGAGGCAGCTGCATTTTCTTCTTTTTTTCTTTGAAGACGTTTCAGTTCTCATCTAAGAAGCTTCTTCAGTTATTCTTCTTCAGAGCTGAAGAAGCTTCTTAGCAATAGCACTTGGACATACTGCTTCACGGTGCTTTACAGCCCTCTCTAAACAGTTTAATGAGTCAGCATATTGCCCCCAACAATCTGGGTCCTCATGTTACCCACCTCGGAAGGATGGAAGGCTGAGTCAACCTTGAGCCTGATGGGATTTGAACTGCCAGATTGCAGGCCTCCAGCCTGGCAGGCAGTAGTAGTTGTTCTTGGATGAGAAGCAAAATATCTTCAAAGAAAAACAAAGAAAATCCAAGCTGCCTCTTGAAAAAGCATCTTTGGGACAGTGCTATGGCTATGAATCCTGCTTCAAAGAGCATCCCCCATCCTGCTCCAATGCAGCTGGGGGGATCTGTGCAATGGGGCTGCAGGCCTTGCAGAGTTTTATCCTCAAATCTCTTTCCTAAAGCGGCACAGCCTGGCATTTATTTTATTATTTATTTATTTATTTATTTTATTTCTATACCGCCCTTCTCCCGAAGGACTCAGGGCGGTGTACAGCCTGATTAAAAGCACAAAGACAGACAAAATTTAAAAATAATTAAAATTATTAAATAATTGGCTCAATTATAAAATCCCCAAATTTAAAATCCCACATTTAAAACCAATTAAAATCTTTACATTGATAGCCCGGCCTGGCGGAACAACAAGGTTTTGAGGGCACAGCGAAATACATGGAGATCGGAGATCTTATGCATTTCTGGGGGCAATTCATTCCAAAGGGCAGGGGCTCCCACAGAGAAGGCCCTCCCCCTGGGTGTCGCCAGCCGACATAATTTGGCCGATGGCACCCTGAGGAGACCCTCTCTGTGGGAGTGGGCTGGCCAGTGGGAGGCTACTGGTGGCAGAAGACGGTCTCGAAAGTACCCAGGTCCAATGCCATGGAGCGCATCTGCGTTTCTCACAGCTTCTGGTCTCTCAGCGCCTTTCCCCGAGATCTGAGCAGTTTTGTCCCCTTGTGGCTTTTCCCAAATTTGAGCCACATCCACCGTGTGGCTGACTGGGTGGAGCATTTCAGTCATTCCTGGCTTTCACCATCAGGAATTATTTTGTATCAATGGCCAATTCATGGCCCACATCTGAGTCACCCGAGTGGTCCACCGTGGTCCCAGTTGAGATCCTCAAGGGACCCAAAGCGAGAAAAGTGCCCATTTATCCCCCTGCATCCTGCAGTTCTTTCTCTTTGCCAGGCTTGCAGTCCACAAGGGAAGAGGCATCAGTTCTCGAGAGATACACGTCATGGGGCCAGCCCCCCTCAGCGGGACCTGCTGACACACTCTGGGCAGATCCAGCTCCCTGTCCTTCCATCCATGCCCTTTTGGGGTTGGACTAGAAGACCTCCAAGATCCCTTCTAACTCTATTATTGTATGTTTTACACGTACTGCTAGAAGTTTGGGCTGGACCATATCAAGTACTTCTTGAGCCTAGCAGGATTCTTATAAGATTCCTGCACATTTTTTTCCCCTGGAAATGGCAATCCCCCTCCCCCCCAAGGAAACCCTATCCATATTTTAACATTCGCCAGTTACCTACAGCCTCGCTGTTTTTCAGAGCATTTAAAACTTCCTGTTCATTATTTTTTGTAATGTATACAGCACTTGCCATTTCCACAACCATCATCCTTCCCCTGCACGACTCAGACAGGCTTCTTTGAGAATTCCCTCACTTTCAGGTTCCAGGTTTCATCCTGGATCACTTCATTTAGTTTTAATTCCATTATTCCATATCTTTCTCTGAACCTCATTTTATGCAGAACTCATTTTCTTTTGTGAGTAAGAAGGCTTGGTGGAACCAAGTGAAAGAGGCTAAGAAAAATTCACAAAAGAAAATGAGTTCTGCATAAAATGAGGATCAGAGAAAGGTATGGAATAATCCATACACAGATCATTGCAAGAAAATGTGGTCAGAAGAGCAAAGAACATTTAAAATAGGAGAAAATGTAGAGCAGTTTTGATGAACAGAACAGGCAATTTTGGAAATGGGTGAAGCAGCCAAATGAGGAGTTTTCAGCAGAGTAAATGTAATTCTCTATATGGATTATTCCATATCTTTCTCTGATCTTCATTTTATGCAGAAATCATTTTCTTTTGTGAATTTTTCTTAGCTTCTTTCACTTGGTTCCACCAAGCCTTCCTTCCACACCTTGTTAGCACAAATCTGCACCCTCCTGTTTTTTTCTGCAACATAATTTACTATCCAGGAGTGTGTGTGTCCACTTTCAATTTCCATTTTTCAGTTTGTAGGAAGATTTTCATCATAAATGAATCGAGTAAGGGTTTTCTTTATTTCTATTGTGCCCTTTGCCATGTTCACATACAAACAGAGGTTTGTTTAAACAGAGAATCTTCTAAGCAGGAAATTCAATCATCTTAATCTCTTACAACCCAGTGGCTCTTCTTCCTTCATAGCTATCCACTTAGGACACTTTCTACAATGTATTTTTCTTTTCATGCAATTTCTTCCCAACTCCTTCCAGCTGTTTCCTTAAATGCAAGTATCACCATCATACAGATTCCTATGTTACAATGAGTTTACTCATTCCTACTTTTTAGCCCTTCCCTTCAACTCCACTCACCAGGATCAGGCACTCCCCCTGCCCCCTCCCACCCCCTTCAGATCTCGTCCTCTTTCTCTTAGTTCTACAGACAACCGAAGGATTCTTCTTTCTTTCATCAATTAATTCATGCTGTTTACTGTTGACCCAAGTCCAATCTTCTATACGCCAGTTGTCATGGGATTAGCCATAGATACTGGCCTCCATGCTCAAAGGGGCACTGGGCCATGGAGGCTATCCCATTATCTTTTGTAGGTCAGAAAAGATGCAGACCAGGTGATTAGTCTTAGTTGCAGCTGGGGCACATCATGCATAATTTCCTGTCACAGGAGGGACAATGTCGCTCCTTGAGTCAGTTTTATCCCAAGCAATCTGACCTGTCTGAAGCAAGCTAAATCCTAGTCTAACAGACTACCTTGCAAGCCACGATATGCTGCCTGCATTGTACCAAATGGTCCCAACTGGGCTTGCTGGCTTCCTTAGCTGTTAATCTACAAAAATACCTGCCTGATCAACCCTGGGCCTCAGAGTAGGAGCAGTTGGTTCCTACAACATCCAGAAGCTTATTATTATTATTATTTATTGGATTTATATGCCTCCCTCTCTCCGAAGGACTCAGGGCGGT